GCAAGACGAAGCACTTTGCTTCCTGATCGGTATCCTCGGGCCCAGCTGTACATACACCACAGCAACAGCAACAAGCAGCAACACAACAGAAGTATAGCTTTTCTTCTCTCTCACTCTATAAAGAAACTCCACTGTTTACTGTACTTTGTGCTACGTGGTGTGTGAATGCTGAGGTATATAGACAGCTCGCGGGCTGTCTGTACACCTCAATTCAACTGGGCCGCTGCTGCTGCTGCTGCTGCTCACCAGGCGTCATCTGCTGCAATGGCCTGGAAACAAACTAAGTAAGTAGCGCCCAACATATACAAACCCGAGAAGACGGTGAGTGCAATATGAAAGCCCTCAGAGCTGCGGGCAGCCTGTAGCAGCGACAACAAAAGAAAAAGGGAGAATAAAAAAACGGGTGCATGCAGGAATGCATGCATACAGAGGGAGAGATGCACAGCATAAGGCCGTTACAATGTCTGGGGTAACAACAGTGGTGTCGTATACTGCTACTGTGTTGCGCTGCTAGTGGTGTTGTGTTGCTGTTCTTTCTCTGGCGTGATAGACGCAGGAGCTGGTGCTTGCGAAGGGTGAGGGTGGCTATGTGTGCTGTGAATGCGGGCTTCATGGGTGAGGTTCTAGGCGCTGGTTTGTTTNAAGGGTGAGGGTGGCTATGTGTGCTGTGAATGCGGGCTTCATGGGTGAGGTTCTAGGCGCTGGTTTGTTTGTTCTTTGAGGTGTATGTACACTTCTGGAGTGTATGTACACTGCTGAGTGTCGTGCAGTGCAGCCACCGCCTCACCTCGCTCATGCCCTGCAGCTGGTAGCCGAAGAGGCCGGAACCTCCTGAGGCCCAGTAAGAGATGAAAAGGCACGTAAGAGAAAAGAATTGCAACAGAAAGCCGCCTCGCAGCAGGAAACTGTTGCCTCCTATACCACCACAGAACACGGTGGTAGGCAGATCGACACAGGGGCCGCGCATGGCCGGTCTGGGGTCGTCAAGGCCCTCCTGGCGCGTGGTGAACCACATCTTGAAGGGAAAGAAGAAAAAGGAAAGAAAAGAAGAAAATAAGCCAAAAAAGTAGAGAAAATATACAGGTTTACGCACCCGGATGATGCGATGCCGCTGCGGCCTGTTCAAGTTGCACAACCCACCGCCGACGACCGAGTTCAGGTGTACAGGCACACGGGGGTCTTCGGCGTGTATTTGTGCTATTTGGGGATTATATATAGGTTGAATACAACGAAATTCAAATCATTTATTTATAAAGAAGTCTTCTACACACAAATGCTGCAGGGAAGAACAAACCCTGCAGCAGCAGCAGCACCGGNTCTTCTGGGGCTTTGATTCGTTTTTATTTGCATAACATTTACTTTATTTCATTGCTTCAAAAACAAACAAACAAAACCAAATACAATACACAAAAAGAGACAAAATATACTCGTTCCTCCTACACCAATACCAACGAACGCTGGCTGCACTGCAACGCGCTGCTCTGCACAGTTCAGGTGTCACGCCACCTCTCTCTCTGTTTGTGAATACAATGAATTTCATTAAATTATATGATTGATGAATATATATTCATATATATAAAACAAAAAGAACAGCAAAAAGTATGTAGATTCCACCCCAGCCACACCGCCACCGCCGGCGATGCACACCGGACCATCATCAACTTGCACATATGCACACGTACCATAGAGAAGCCGCACTAGCTACATAAAAAGAAAGAGAGAGTTTACGCCTAACACTTGTGTTTATATAAAACTCAATTCAACTCAGTATACACCCCAAAAGGGAGAAACAAAATGACGTTTTCCTATTATTTTCACAGCCTGAGCAGCCAGCAGCCGCTGCCCTTCTCGTGGGGAGGCACACAGCAGCCGCGCTGCTGCTGCAGCTGTTCTTTATATAATTTATTTTTTTAATGAAGTCNTATAAGGGGGCTGCCGGGGCGGAGAAAGAAGTAGAAATTGCATTGTTAATAAGAAACATAAATCAATAAACTTCAAAAGCAAAGACGTTTGCAAAGAAAATGCTGTTCATATACCTGAATACAGCTGACAGGGGGCAGCTTCGCAGCAGCAGCAGCAGCAGCAGCAGCAGCAGCAGCAGCAGCCCCCCCGGTGCTGCTGGTGCCGTGCGGCGTGCAGTGCAACGAGCCTTTGTGGAAGTTTGTTTGCTTCTTTGTTGGTTTGTTTACTACATTTGTTATTGATTATCAAGAAGGTGTGGTGTCGTTTGTTTTAATTATTTCCCTGGGTTTGCATGCAGTGCCGTTGCTGCTGCTTCTTCTTCCCTAGCAGCTACCACACCACACCACCCACCCCCTTTTTTGTATGAAGGAACCGGTGGTCTGTGCTTCTCTGTCTGCGCTTTTATAAACCCTAAACCCTAAACCCTCGACTATAATAAACCCTTTCCTTTTCGCTTCTTTATCCTTTAAACATTTTCTTGTTTCTTTGTTTGTAGCTCACCGCAGTAACCCAGCGATGCTTCATGTCTTCTTCCTGGGGCTGCCCCTTCCTTCGTGTTTATATAAACCCTAAACCCTCAACATAAACCCTGAACCCTAAACCCTAGACCCTAAACCCTAGAAACGATGGCTCAGGCTCAAATATCGTCATCTCGCAAACAGTGCGATTTCGCTAAGCTGTACGTACACCTGAATATATTCAACTTTTTTTTTTTTGCTTTTTCTTCCTTGCATGCAAACTAAAGAAATACAGAGAAAACATAGAACAAAACCCCTAGAAAACCAACACCACGACACACACACACACACACACTGTATATTGCTGCTTCTTAATAAATACATAAAAAAAATATATTATATACACTGCGTGAGCTTCACTGCTTTTTGCGGTGTATCTACAGGTTAATGGCTGGATATGACTTGGAGTTGAACAACAAAAACACACAAGACTTTAATGTTGTATTTCATGGCCCTAAAGAAAGTAAATATATACACCATATACACCTCACCCTATACACTGCTCCTACTGCTGCTTGCTTTGCTTTGTTTGTTTCTTTAGTTCTGTTTCTTTGTTTGTTTCCTCTCTCTTTTTTTTTTAATATTTTTTTGTCTGTNTGTTTGTTTCTTTAGTTCTGTTTCTTTGTTTGTTTCCTCTCTCTTTTTTTTTTAATATTTTTTTGTCTGTATGTCTCTCTCTGCTTACCGGCCTGCTTGACTGGTTTTTTGTTTCACTGCTTGTGCTGGGTTGTTTATACTTGTTTGTTTGCTTTTTTGTTTGTTTGTTCTTTTTTTTTCTGCTTCTGTTTTCTGGTTGTTGTGTTCGTGTTTTATTTGTTTCATATTGCTTACATGTTTTTTTTTTGCTTAGTTTTTTATTTTGTTTGCTTCTGAGCTCAAGTTGCATTCTCCTATGTTCCTTGCTTTTGCTTTCTTTTGCTGTTTAGTTCATCTGCGGTTTGTTGTTTCTTCTGTCGTTTGCTTTTTCTTTTTGTTGTTTATTTATTCCTTTGTTTGCTGGCCCCGTTCTCTCACCTTTTTTTTTCTTGTTTTGTTTGGTTCTTCTTTTCTCTGCTTCTTCTGTTTTTTTTTGTAGGGTTTATTCTTTTGTTTGTTTATTCCTTTGTCAACTTTTCTGTTTCTTCTTTTGTTTATCTTTTTAGTTTTCGTTTCTTCTTTTGTCTGTTCTTTGTTCTTTTTTTTTGAATTGGTTTATTTCTGCATGTTCTGTATGTTATTTATCAGTCTTGTGTACTTTGTGTTGTATTTTTTTTTATTTTTTTTGTCGTGTTATGATTTCTCTTTTTAATATTTTTGTTGGAGGTCTGTTGAGTATTTGTATATGAAGAGGAAAGCTGAATAAAGAAGAAGCTGTGCAGTTGAGACGAATAAAATTATTTCTTTTTTCCGTTTTTCTCTGAAATAAAAAGAAAAAAAAATAAATTATTCAATATAAACAAATAAAATAATTTTCCCTTTTCTTAGTATTTCAACAATATATGAGGTGTTGAGTATCTGTATCTGAACACCAGCGATAAGAAAAAGAAAACGAGAAGAAGAAATTAAATAGTTGAAACAAAAAAAAATAATTTATTATTTTCTCTTTTTTCTCATGAAAAAGAAGA